GCACAACGAAGTGAATGTTGCTGGCTCACATGATTGGAAGACGAAGTCGCATTGGATTGACAATGCCCAAGGATTGCAGAACGCCAGTTGTTGTTTTGAGAATGCTCAGTTAGGACTTTCATGCGCTCATCCACCCCATCCTTACAATGTGTGTCCTTTCTATCGTCAAGGACAGCCTCATTCTTGAGCTTTCCCTGTGTTTAACACCTTCCCCTTCACTCTGCCTCTCTCACAGTGTGCAAGTGGGCTGTTATGGCATACGGGGATGGGGGCAGCTCACGCTCAACTTCATCAACGTGGCGAGCCTTGCACGTGAGAGGCACAGTGGAGGGGGAGTTCAAAGAAGAATGAGAAATTTAATGGTTTCAATCTGCCCTTGTTTTTTTTTTTTCTTTTTCTTTTTCTTTTTCTTTTTCTTTTTGCATGTTATCACTGTGCCCGTTTTTTGCTTTTATTCTTTGTTCCGCAAAGTGCGCTCTTTTAGTTTGTAGTGATGTGACAATATATTTCTGCAAGTGTGCCGCTTCGGCCGCAGACGGGTGTGGGCACTGCTCACTCCAGCACACAAATGTGGGGAACCTTGCATTTTCTATTTTATTGCCCGGTTATACTCCTTTTGTTTCACGGGTGGTTTGTGATGGCTTGTAGATGGAGAGAGAGAGAGTTTGGGGTTTCCTGACAACACACACACACACACACACACACACACACACACACACACACACACACACACATCTGTTATGTCTAGGTCCCATCCCTCTGCCTCCATTGGAGTTGTTGACTGTGCCATGATGCAATAGGTCACTTAAACTTTGGATACACGTACACGTCAGCTAACTTAATGCAGCATTTTGGTGGCCAACGATACTAGAGGATGCTAAGAACTTAGTAAGAAGTACATTGAGACATGACAAGTTTGCCAAAGGGACAAACTGAGGACTCGAGCAGTTCTTGGTCTGATCAAGCCCTTGCCTATACCGACTGGACAGGGAGAGAGTCCGCTCATGGTCTTCATGGATACTCTCGTCACCAGCAAGTCTGGAACGAGGCATATCTTTTTAATTGCAGACAGGTTCTCCAAGCACGCTACATTATTTGTGCTGCCCGGGGTCACGAAGACGGACCTAGCAATCAAAATGTTTATGGATACTGGGTGAGAGATTTTAGTCTACCTAAGACCATAGTTAGCGGCAAAGACGTCAAATTAACTAGCAAGTTATGGAAGAAGACTGCCGAACAGATGGGTCCCAGCTGCAAATGATATGGAGACCACACTGAGACCAACGGACAAGCGGAGCAGATGAACTGGGTAGTACAACACCTGTCGAGGCACCATATCAAGCCCAGCCAAGAAGACTGGGATGAGAAGTAACCACTCTTTGCCAGCCTGTACAACAACGCCGTGCATAGTACTACAGGTCAGTCACCTAATCAGCTATACACTTAGGATAGAAGCCTAGGACCCCGTTAGCCTTTCTCCTCCCTGACACTAGACCGACTGCAGCACTGAGAAGCATTGAATTTGGGATGGGAGTATGATAAGAGGCTGCAGCAAACCGTGGAACAGATTCAAAAATCCCAGAATGCCATGATAGCATCTGAGAACAGACGTAGAAGGGAATCTAAGTTCCAGGTGGGAAAAAGGGTATGGGTGAAGTCTTCTGAGCCTACACAGAAGGTGAACATCTCTCTCAAGCTGATGCCTCAATGTTTTGGGCCATGGCATGTCCTAGACATTGTTGGGTCTGAACCTGATGGCCCATCATATGTCATCCACGTGCCACCTTACCTACGTACCTATCCTGTCTTTCATGCCTCCAAACTCATCCGTTTATGGATGAGTTTTCTTCACTAAGATCAATGCTGCTCCCAACCATGGATGAATACATCAACATCGATCAGGAGGATAGACTTATGCCTGTAACGAAGCCTGTTGGCTGGGGAAGACATCTAAAACCACATATGAAGTTCCAGGTTGCTCTCAGGCATCATACGGACGACAAAGAAACTTGGTGGTCCGTAAGAGAGGAGCTCAGTCGTATCTAGCTATGAACGGATGTTGAAGGGTAAACAACAGGTGGATTGAAAGTCTCAGAGGACTATCAAAACTGAGGGGGAGGAAGTGTGAGGATTTAGGTCCCTCGACAATGCAGGAAAAGGCCACGCCTGCCCTACGCGAAGGCAGGCCTGCAATGAGTACAGGCCGATAAGAGCACAATGGGGCCCGAAGGTTGGTTGCTGCACGCAGCATCTCTAACCAACCGGTAGCTCAGTTGGTTGCAGATGCTTGAGCCCAGCGAAGATGCCGAGGCCCGGGCACTTATTGTTGAGCCCCACTGCCCAGGCACATTCTGGAAGGGCCCCACACACAGCTACTGGGACAGAACCCGCCCAGTCCAGGTCTCCCTCACCCATCCAGCCAGAACAAAAGGAGGAGTGGTGAGCTCATTCAGACACTCTGGCTGGATAAACGCAGTAGCGCTGCTGGAGCGCTTGCTTGCTGGAGGAGAGTCGGGCCAGAGGAGGAAGAAGGGAAATGGCAGGGGGCGTCGAAGACGCTGCGAGGGCGCAGCAGGGCAGCGCCAGTCAGCCATAGCCAAGCTGAACTGGCACCCAACCGCTGGAGGAAAGCGCTGGTCCTGGGCGATGAGGTGTGGGAAGTGGAATTCAGGGAGATGGGGCCATGCGACGAAGCACTCACCTGGTGGAAGAGAAACAGACCGTGCGATCGGTGTCTACTGCGTACATCGGGGTGATGATCTCCATAGCGGAACTGCTGCTGTAGGCAGGCGTCCAGGTCGTAGGAGCTGTCTGTCTGTCATCTGGGCAGCTGGGTACCAAGCGCCAATGTAGAAGAGCTACATTGTTGACATTGGTGATGGGAGGCGAGAAGAGGGCTTTCATTATAATGTGACTTCAATGCTGTGCTCGTACTTATTTGGTCATATCTCAGTTTCTTATCTGCTTTCAGTTCGGGCTCAAAGTTATCTGGATTTTCCGTGGAATGCTGCAATCTTGTTCATGACAGTGCTGGGCCGGCAACCGGCCGGTTGAGCTACCCCGGTCCAACCGGAGCCAGACCAGCCCAGGGGGAGTGAACCGTGAAACCGGTTTTGAAAAAAAAGTGCCCAAATATCTTCTTTTTTTTTTTTTTTTGGGCAGATTCCGACTGCGCTCTTCAAGAGCTGTCCGAATCCGCAATAAAATTTTCAAGTTACAATATTTTTCAGGGGGCTTCCAGAGGGGGGCATGGGGTTATTATTGACATATTCAGGCAACTATGGCTTCCTCTGGGAGGGGTCAAGTAAGCAAATTCACTTATCCGACCCCCCTGCGGCTGGAGCACTTCGTGGAGTATGTCATTTGATATCGATACCCCACGAGCTGAACCAGATACGATGAGAGGAGGTCCTAGCCGGAAATTATAGCTCTTCCAGAGTATATTTCGACAGCAGAAAAGTTATGGTTCCAGCTTTCAGCTCGTGGAGGCAGGGTGTTTTCTGTTTGTTGGTTTCTAGTAACTTTCTACATAAGGTGAGTTGTCAGTCCGGAAGTATCTTGCCTGGCAGTCTGTCCAGATACATGTAGTGGAGCAAGGTCCATTCGAGATAGATAGAGAGAAGAATATAGCTTACGTCCATTCTTGGGCTTGCACCTCGGACGACTCTGAAATCACGATTCCAAAATCCGAACCCATAACTTTTTCCACAGATGGCAGGGACGTCGCAGAAGGATATAATATCAGCAGAGCCTCATCAGAAGCATAGTGTTCGCCTCTTGGCTGAGGGTGAAAGAGCATCAGATGTTGCCAATTGTAACTGGTCCATTGGACCACAAGATGACAAATTGGAGAAGGGGCCTACCTGACCCACATCTTAAGAAAAATGCATGGCTGTTCTCCGCTGCTGATCTGCACAGATCAACGGCGGATATCCTCTGCCCATTTTTCTTAAGAAATGGGGTCCTGGCCGATCTTCGCCACTGATCTGCGACGATCGGCGGCCAAGATTGGCCACTTTTTGGACTTGAAAAATCCGGGCCTACAGGACCCGGTTTCGAAATTCCGGGGCACGGCCCAGCCCCGTGAGGCCTTGGGAACACATACGCGCGGCAAAAAAGAAATTCAGGCCCCAGCGAAAATCCGCTGGGGGCAACCGGTAGGGGTCCCCGGTCCATCCGGGGACCAGCCCTGGTTCATGACATATTGCTCATTCCCTTGCGTATGCATAGAGTGGTCTCGAGGACCTGCTGATCAGCAGCACAAGCGACATGACACTAACCCACACCAATTTTAGATATAGGCAGGCAGCACTGTCTAAGCCGCCAGGTACTATGTCACTCGCACCTGGTAGCTTAGACAATGATTGGACGGTAAAGAGCTCTATACCAGTCCACTGAGCAAATGGGTAGAGGCAGACAAATCTGTGGGAATCCCCTGAGCAGAGGACCGGTTAGATACCGGATCCTGAAATACACCTCCCTGCCAAACCTGGATTCTGGGCCAAGTCAGACAGAGGGTAGGACACACATTGTGGGCCAGCTAGACAGCTGGGCAAGCCTTAGGATGGAATGACAATTGGCCTAATGATCAGAATTCATCATCCAGCTGCACACTAGATCACCCCATTGCCATTTTCTCAACTTGCTCCAGTGCTGGATAATGCTCCAAGATCAGCTTCCAATTTCCTGATTTCATTTACTTTACTCCCACCTTCTGCACACCACCAGTTCACTATGCTTTGTTATGAGAAGCAATTGGACTTAAGCTCTCTAACGGAACCTGAGAAACCGCCTTTACATCAACAAATGTGGCATTATGTTACCCTCCTGTATCCATTACGGCCTTGCTCTGGTACCGGATGGGTACGTAAGATCTGAACTATTGTGTCTATTCCTCGAGTATTGTTTGGCTATAGTTTACTCCTGTAGCTGCTCCGCAATGCCTACATCACGGCGTTCACTGGCATGGTCTTTTCTAGGAATGCAAAAAAAAAACTTACCTCAAAGCAGACAGGGCAGTTGTGATGCATCGCCCGCTCAACGCACCGGTGGTCATCCCGTATAGCTTTTGTGTAACAACATCCTGTAAGAGAAAGCAAGAAACACATTATCTCTTAGATTTTCTAACTGAAATTGGGCAAAGAGGAAGAAGTCGCCCTGAAATTGGATGAATCATTTGCCGTATCATATATGAGATCAATGGTTTCCTACCGACACCCACGAACTCGAAAAGAACCCTCAGGGTTTGATTAAAAAGCGGGCTCTACAAACAGGAGGAAGGCAAAGGAATGACAGTACATTCATGGCACACCAAGGGGGCAAACGGAATACTCCACACAGAGCCAGACTTCTGTTGCATGCCTTCCGACTCATTAGTAAGATGCACACCACAGTAGGGGACAGCATGTGGTCATGAATGACTAGGGACCATAGTTTCGGTAGCTGTACAATAGCCCCCGGGAATGTCCAATGGGGTATGTCTTAGGTCTGTATTCTTGAGAACATCGTAATTTTCAAGATGGCGACATAAAAATCTCAACAGTGCGTTTGGAACATGCTATGTTTCTTCTTCCTTTGTGGGGATCGTGATGAGTCCCTGCCCTACACATGAAATACGGCCACACACGTCTTTGTACAATAGGTGACCTAACAGCCACCCGAGTTCAATACCTGATGGAATCACATGGATACAATACTCCCTTATTAAAAAGGGGGGAAAAAAACAAAAACAAGAACAAGCCTAGCCTATTTTTTGTATCCATCTGAAAGCTCTCACCGCCTTTGTGTCATCACTTGAGGTAGTTGGCTCCTCATCTGAGCTTGGACTGATGCTCCCCTCACCAGTTTCACCTGGTAGTGCACCTATGCTGCAGCCGCATCTCGCTGCTGGGAAAATCCGGCCTGTGATAAGGCAGTGTTGCTGACCCATCCCCGTGTGCTGAACAGTAGGTCCAGAGGATACCTCTGCTGACACCACCCAAATCTTTGTGAGAGAGAGAGAGAGAGACGATGTGAAGGAATGACACAGACAGGGAGTAGGGCACTACGCGATGACTGAGTACTATACCAGGCAGCAGCTGTGGGGGGAGAGAGAGAGAGAGAGAGAGAGAGAGAGAGAGAGAGAGAGAGAGAGAGAGAGAGAGATGGGGGACGAGAGAGACAGGGTCCACCGACCGCCCTTTGTGTCAGAAAAACACTCAGACAGAGGGAGAGAAAGTTTGGGAGGGAGAGCGAGGTGAAGAGAGACATAAGGGAGAGAGAGAGAGAGAGAGAGAGAGAGAGAGAGAGAGAGAGAGAGAGAGAGAGAGAGAGAGAGAGAGAGAGAGAGAGNAGAGAGAGAGAGAGAGAGAGAGAGAGAGAGAGAGAGAGAGAGAGAGAGAGAGAGAGAGAGAGAGAGAGAGAGAGAGAGAGAGAGAGAGTGCTGGGTGCGGCATGTTGCGGTGGAGTATTGCTTAAACTGCTCCTTCTTTTAAATGCTATATGGAGCTAGATCAGGGCACTGCTGCGTATCTGGTCTTAGGTATGGAGCCCTGGACCTCAAAACCATGTGAAGCTGGAGTTTGAGATTCTGCTTCGTCGATCTAGACGAGTGATGACGTATGTGTCATGTTAGACAAGGATATTACCACTGTTTATCGGCCAAATAGATAGATTCTTTCATTGTTTTACTTTGGTTTGGTTTTACCACCTGCCCCTGAGGGTGAAATTCGCTAGTTGTTGCCTACTGTGTAGTTGGTGTGTTTGGTTCTGTAACTTAAAAATTTTGTTTGCTTTCACAAGGAGGCCCGGCAGGCAGGCAGGCATCCACTGGGGGCCTCCCGAAAATACACGCTCGGCCCTAAGGGAAGGTCGGGGCAGGAAATGCTCGCCAGCCCTAGAAGAAGGCTGGCATAAGGCAGTTGGAAGGAAGGCTGGATGCAGCCTCATTTGTGAAAGCATCCCCATGCAGGGTTACAGGGCCGAACGTTCGGTCATTCGGGGAGGGGTACGGGTCCCCTCCCGAAGGGGTTCGGGGCCCGCCAAACCCCATTCCATGCCCAAAATTTTTATTTTTTTTCAATTTTTGTGTTGATAGCTCACCTCCTGGCGCACCTACCCCTAAAATTCATAGAAATTCGCACTTTTGTTTTCCAACTTTTTATTGTTTTTTTATCGATTGATTGATTGATTGATTGGCAGGTAGCAGGGGGGTCGCCCACCCCCCATGCACGCGCGGGCACAAACACACACGCTCGTGCTCGTTCGCACCTTTTTTTTCCCACTTTGCACTGTTTTTGTTTCAATTGATTGATTGATTGGCCGATAGCTGGGGTGCACACACGCACACACACGCGTGTGGTCGTTCGCACCTTTTTTTCGTTTTTCAACTCTTTTTTGTTTCTTTTGATTGACTGATTGATTGACGATAGTCGCGGGGCCGACATTCAGTAGCCCTAACCACACCTGCAGCTGCTGTCAGAATCAGGAAACAAGCACAGCATGTGCTGTGCGGACAATTGAAGAAGGCAGAAATGATCCAGAGAAATTGTCCTCAGTATACCCACCGCAGCGATCACAGTGGAAAAAGTTGCTCTTTCCTCCAACCCTGAATCACATGCAACAGGCAACCACAAACAAAAAGAGGGACACCATCAGTAGCCACTCATCACTGCAGTAACAGCAGACATAAATCACAGCCTGATCACAGGATGGTGGATTTGCAGTGAAATGAATCCAGGAAATATTATTTAGAGAATTTTAGACAGCGCTTCAGTGGTTACATGCAGTCCTGATTCCCAAAAGCGTACGTGTTGCTTGTCAATCCAGATATGCCACAAGGTTCTATTGCCCAACCCAGGGGCCACTGTGCACAGCTGTGGGGGACTGCTGCAAAAAGAACAAAGGAGAAAAGAAATATATGTAGAGGAGAGGTCGGGCAAGTGATGACACGCCCCCTTCCCCCCCTTCTTTTGGGATTGTTCACTCCTCCTAGTGATTCCAGTCGCATCTTGCGGTGATCTCACAAGCCCAAGGTCGTTGGCCAATGGCCTTGCTGACCACCACCACCAAGGAACTCTTCACAAGGTTGTCCCCCCGAAAAGAAGGAAGGGGGAGTTGTGCCCCGTGGAGCTAATGGAGGGTACTATGGATCTTACGGGTTAGGGTGTAGGGGCTGCTAATGGGAGCAAGGACTCGTGGGTGGCTCCAGAGAATCTAGGGGTGTCTTGGGTAGCAAGGAGGGAGAATAAAGGGAAAGATTATTGGTATCTATGTAGGGAGCATTCCAGGACGCCTGGTGTGAACGTCGCCCCACATGTCAGAAGCACATTGATTCTTATCTGAAGAGCTTAAACTAGAGCTTAATCAGCAGGTGCGAAGCAGAAAAGTCATAATGGGATCTCTCTCGTAAGTACCTAAATTCATGCAGTGAAATGGAAGGCACAAAATCAAGTCTCTTGGGTTGTCCCTCGGTGGGAATAATGGGGGGTCCTGTGGATCTTCCGGGTCACGGTGTAGGGGCCACCAAGGGGAGCAAGGAGGAGGTCCTAGGTAACTGCACAGAACGTAGGAGTGTCTTGGACAGCGAGGGCGGAGAAGAAAGGAGGGATTCTTGGTGGCTACATCGCGGGCATTCCAGGAGGCCTGGGGTGAATCATCCTTCATATTCCAGTGCATCACAGAGGATCCTCCAGTGGGCAGGCCAACAGTCAATGGCCTCATTAGCAGGTGTCCCTGGTGGCCAGCAGTCAGGCAGTGATTACAGCCAGACCATGCCGGAGGACAAAAGGAGGGCGAGTGCAAGGGACCTCTCTCCCAGCCATCGGCTACCTGGCCTTGGCCACCAATGAACAACAGTGCTTTTTCCCAGGTGTCTGTCCTTTTTTAAGGAAAAACTCCACCAAAAACAGTGGATGCTACTCGTCACAGAGAGCAGTGCATCTTGTGGTCTGGACCAGATACCCATGGGAACCCAACACCTTGTGGTCTGGACCAAGTATCAACAGGTAGCAGATGGCCTGTGGTCTGGACTCTGGACCAGATACCCACAGGGCCCTTGTGACCTGGACCGGATACCCAAAGGAGGGTATCTTACCCTCAGAGAGGGAGATGGAGACAAGGTATTAAGGTGACAATCCTCGGCAAGGTCAACGCACCCAATGGTGGTTCGGGAACGAACTTGTGCCCTGCCAAACACAGCAGTCCCCCTCATGGCATCTCCAGAGTATCCAAATTCCGCGAATTCATTAACTACCTATGAACCAGGAAAGTACACATTGTATACGCCTGTTTCTGTTTCCCGAAAACGGGCAAGGATCAGGCAATTCTGAACCCAATAGCTCAAGCTGAGCTGAGCACCAATGCACTGGAATTTACGACCAACTCACCACATGATCCACATCAGCTTACCGGCAGAGTCCACAACCGTCGCAGTGGTATTGTCCCCTTGCCTGTGCACAATAAGACATCAATTAAACAGACAAAAAGAGGACACCCATGAGAGTCTCCTCCCCTATTTTGTAGCAGCTAAGTGGGCTGATGTAGATAGCATCTGCCACATGGAGCCTTGCTAGCATAAGCAGACTTTCAGCATTCCTAAGTACACAGTGGAAGAAAACCTCCAAACTTCCAGACAGAATGTCGGTTGGGCAATTTCAAGTTAACAATTAAGATCTTACTTTAGTCTTAAAACTCAGCTGTTATGATCCTGCTCAACTATCAATGCAAAACTCAACTTTGCACCAATGGAAGATTTCTCAACTTAAGATGAGGTGGAAAAAGACACGGCAAACTTGGGCAGGGGTGAGGGGAGGTAACATCCTTCCACATAGGAAGCAATCAATGCCTCCCACTCAGGTCTCTCTACAATAAAGGGGAGAAGTGTCGGAGTATGTCGTATTCTGTGTTTTGACTTGCCGGGGGAATAGGAGCCGGACTGACGCTAAAAATAAAATAAAAAATAAAAAAAAATAAAAAAGGAGCCGGACTGACGCTCCCCAGAATGGGTATGGAGCCGGAGCCAAAAGGCTCTGTTTGTTGTTTGAAAAAAAAAAAAAGTAGAAGAAAAGAAGAAGAAGAAATTCACAAGTTTGAACCAATGACATCTCCCCCCTTTCTCGCCGACATCATGACCTTGACCTCATCTCTCCTCCTCCAACACAATTTGTTCATTGAAATAGGCTTTGAAGTTTGCACATCATTTCAACCAACGCCGTCCTCTTTTGTGTTGCCACAATGCTCAGACTATATCATCATCCCAAGCAGGGACCCCTTGAGGCCTGTTTATTCAAACTGTGGATCACCACCTCGCCGCCCGCCCACCATTTCTATTCTATCTCAATTAACCCACACCAAACGTAATAAGAAAGGCGGTGTTTGCTATAGCAGCGGGTAATCATAAATGAATGAATGAATGAACAAAATTCAATGTGCGACTAATCCCCCGTACTGCCAGCAGTCAAAGAGCTCTCCTTTCAGCCTCACTCTCATTCCTCTCTTCTCGGTTGCATCCATGAGTACCATGAATGTCAAACGACAGTACAGCAAGTACTGTGCGTCTCCCATCTCATGCCTCAGCCAGACTCCCGGATGAAGGTCCACTATAGCCAATGGCAAGTCTATCATGCCGGTTCCCTCTTCCTCGACCTCTACTCTCTTCCTCCACCTATCCTCATAAGCATGTCTTGAGGTTCTTCTCCCTCTTCCTCCATAGCCTAGTCCTACTCCCTTCAACTACTATTACTCCGTAGCTATGTACGCTCTTCTTCCTCACCCTCCACTCCAGTGCCAGAGCTCCGCCTAACTCACCCTCAGGGAGGAGCAGCAGCATGACTGCCCGTGGAATGTGTCGGCCTACTCATTTCACCACTCCGTAGCTATGTACGTTCGTCTTTCCCACCCTCAACTCCACTGCATCAACCGAGAGTTCCACCTAACTCAACCTCAGGGAGGAGCAGCAGCATGACTGCCCGTGGAATGTGTTGGCCTACTCATTTCACCAATGATATACTCGCACCTTGTAGCCTCCAGTACCTCTATCATCACGCACTTCAGCCCCTACTGGTAAACTAGACCTACTGGAAGTTCCTGCCTTTGGTGAGGACATCACTGCAGTCAGCAACCCTCTTTCAGGGCCTGTACCTCACCTGTTATCTACCAACATAGTGGCAATGGACCATCATGACCTCTTCGGGAACTACCGGACCTTTCAAAGTCCATCGTTTTTGCTATGCCTACCCAAGTTGCTGGAAAATCCTACATGGTACCTGCCAAACTGTACTCTTCTCATTGTCCATCCTAAACTTTCTACCAAGTCCATCCAATGTCCAATCTCACTCCTACCCCTATCACTCTACCTAATTAATGTTCTACCCCTCCGAGGACACAGAACACAGCACGAGAGCCGTTCATTCACGGACATAGCAAGCATCACATAGGGACTTGGACATGAAGACAAGACAGCAATCACACTCAAAGTCAGAAATGTTCAGCAAAACAGACCAACAACATCAATGCTCAAAGAACAGAACTCTCAGACTGAAACTGTGCAGGTCATTGCACACCACAGTCAGAGAAAAAAAAACAAATTGTCTCTATGGGTTGACAGTTATCAAGAGGCTGAGGACCTCACAATGCTACCACGAACAGGTACTGGTTCTGCTCAGAGAACGGGCGCCCGGGTCCAGGGAGGTCGTCCAGGTGGCCTCCCCAGTCAGGCCACAGGCAGGCAGCGCATTTTTGCACTGGACTGTTTCAGTCCCCCGAAATGTTGAAAAGGGTCTTATGCCTGCCAAGGGAGGCCTAAAAAAAAATCCAGGCCTACTGTTTCAGGCCCAGCGGATTTTCACACTCGAAATGGTGAAACGGGCCTTCTGTTCGCCAAGGTATGCGGACCACGGCAGGCCCAGTTCTTGGCAGCTGGGCCGCTGATCTCGGAAGATCAGAGGCCCAGATTGGGGCACTGTTCTTTGTGGATGGTGTTCAAATTCAAACCCCTGACTGCCCGTTGACCCTGCTCGTCCCTAGCTGGCCACCTGCCACATTCATCCCACCACTTCATCACCAGACTGTGTCGAAGCCCACCTGCCCATCGTTTGCTGCCTCCATTGAAGAAGGAAGTGTCTGCCTCCTCTGCCGAATCGTCCTACCTGCGTGCCACCACCTACCAGACTGTAAGCAACAAAGAGAGAGAGAGCTCCTTAACCCTCATCTCCCCTCCTCCTCCTCCTTCCTCCTCGCTCCTACTTCCTCCTCGTCGTCTCCCGTCATCCTCCTTCCTCCTTCCTCAGGACCTTGTAATCAAGTTACGACGGACTCTCTGCACATGCTTTTGCCAGTTTCCTTATTGCATGAGAGGTGTGGGTCATCCCCAGATAATTGACAGGCGATTTGTGCTGTGCCGTTTGGGCCCCAAGACACCGCTCTTCGAGGGCTTCCATGACAGCTCCATCTCACTGGGCTTGGAGGCAGCTGTCGGGATTTCTCAATGCTGTGGTGCTGGCTGGTGGCTTGTTTTGGACACCCTCAGTCATCCTCGTCCTCGGATCTCCCCTGTCGCACGCCATGTGTCAGTGCAGTGCAAGTTTTTTTTTTTTTTCGTCGGGTCGAATGTCGTGACCTTAATCTCCTTGAATCCTTCTCTCTCTCCTTTTCCTCCTCCCTCCTCCTCCTAACATCCCCTCCATTCACGCACCATGTGTCATCATGGCACACTTTTGTTTTATTTTTATAGACTTTTCTTCTCCCGAGACCTCCCCTCCTCCCTCTTCCTCCTGCCTTCTCCTCCTTCCTCCCTGCTTGTTTGGCACCCTTGTGTGGCCTGCGTTCGCCCCCAGTGAAACTTTCATTTGTCTTCATTGACTGTTTCGACTTTCCCTTTCCCCAAAGTGTTTCGTTCACAGTTCTCCCAGATTGCCTGGGGCTCTTTCCAGGTTTGCTTGAATGTTATGCAGAGTACTTCCCCATTCTGCTATGTATTCTGTCTCAAGGATTTGTCTGAACCCTTCTATGAGCTCCTTTATATGTACCTTTTTTGCTCTATACGCCAAGGCCACAATGGCATATCGGGCAACTAATAAAGGGGTGGGGGGCATGAATGCAAGACTTAGACGGGTTGGAGTCTTCATTCCAGAGGCTGGAAGTGACCATCCCCTCATAGTGATTCGAGCAGAGATTATGCCGTGCAACTGCTAACCAGAGTGTGGCTCTATTCAAGCACAATGGCATGGCCGCCACCGTCTTCTCAAGGCGGGCTCTTACCATCAGTGGCAGAATCCGTCTGCTATGCACAGGCAAGAAAACCAGGCAGGGTACCGGAGGAGGGGAGGGTCAGCCCGACTGTTCTCTGGAAGCTGCAGACCTTGAAGCCACACATCCAGATACGGCTCCTGATTGATAATCCAGATCGAGTGTGACTCTGCCACTCAGTGATAGTAAGAAGTAATATTACCCATGCACTCCACCCTGCCACCATTATCCCGCAGGGTCCATGAATTATCCGTGAACAGTGCATAGCACTGAAATGACCCAGGCGATGCAAGATGCACGCACGGACAATCGGGTCCTTGTCAGGCATATAATTCTGCAGACCAGGCTGAAGTTGTAGTTGTCTTCTCCTAAACGTCACGGACAGCACTTCATGTTCACACCAGCCTCAGTGCTGTCATCCTCTGGGCAAACAGCACAGTGGTCCGCTCCTGTCCAGAGGACAATGTCACAATCCCAAACAGTAGCCAGGAGACAACACAGCAATGGCCTTGCTGTTGTGAGTGTGTGTGTGTGTGTGTGTGTGTGTGTGTGTGTGTGTGTGTGTGTGTGTGTGTGAGAGAGAGAGAGAGAGAGACAGGAGCAAAGAACGGCTATGAGGGAGAGAGGGAGAGTTCGGGAAGGGCCATTTCTCAAAACAGCCCAATGACACAGACTCGTGGCAGGAAAATAGACCGAACGTTCAGATCTTGTTCGATACAATACCATTACGGATTTGCTGCTTCAGGAATCCACCAACGGACAGGGCAACAGGCTGTTACTCAGCTCGAGAAGCGCTTTTCACAGCCCTTTGACACCTAGGGGTTTGATTTCGAGTTTCCCTCATAACCTCCACTGCACCTTCGCCTTGGGTGGGTCAACCATCATCTCGGGTGCCACGGCCATCATCAAGGACAGAAGAGTATAAATGTTCCCAAGGTGCAGTGGAGGCCATGAGGGAAACTCCAAAACAAACCCCGTAGGTGTCAGAGGGCTGTGAAAAGTGCTTCTTGAGCTGAGTAACAGCCTATTGCCCTGCCAATGCAACAGCATTCGCTGGCAACGGGCGACAGAGAATAACCCCTGGAGGTGGTGACCCTCTCGGGATATTTACTTTACGAGGCAGCCACCCCTGGATTCCCAGCACAACCATCTTTGTCATCAGAGTGAAAGACATTAAGGCATTCCAATTAGTTTCGGATGTTTACGAAGGCTTTGCGGCCACGCACCTCATCATCAAAGAACTTGCATTTGCTGCAGAAGTATTCACCCATGCAGACACCGCAGTTGATGCACACCTGTGCAGCCTGAGGGAATACAGTTCAATCCAAAATACAGGAGCACACAGTCATCAAGGAATTTACTCCCAAAACCAGCCCATTCAATAAACTATATTTGCTTCAAGCCCCTCATTCGACAAGGTTACGTACATATTCCCAGTCCGCAAGGAAGTCCTCAGATTCATAGAAACAGAAACTCTTTTCACTGCTTTCAGCTCATATGAGCACAAATGGTACATGCATATCATATCCACTTCGCACATGCAGTCCCACCCAGGACTCTGTATCCACCAGTCACCTAAGTAGCAAATTGCCAAATTAGGTTTCATGCCACGCATAAATCAAGAAATGGTCCAAATTATTCCAAAAAAAAAAAAAGGGAACTTTAAAAAAAAAAGGGGGGAACCTCGAGATGTAACCAAAATGTTCATAATTCACCCTTACTTCCATATGATAGCATGCATGTCCAACGTCCCTTACAGTCATGGAATTTGCACACACCTCTCCGCATTATGGCTGGGAGATCCTGAGACAGCGGCATTGATTACTTCCTGTCCGGGAGGATGCACCACAACTCTGCCCCTGCTTACTTCCTGGGTCATGAGCTTTTGCTATCTACCCTTCTACTACCTTTCTACCCATTTTTTCCTATCAGCCCCGTTAGCCTCATTTTCCATTCACTTTTGCTGTGCGGGCGTAACCATGCTGGTATCACCAAGTTGCCACCCCATCCCAGCCCCTGACATCATTGACAGCTTCCTTCTGGAAGGATCAACTATCCGCTTTCAAAAATCTTGTTGAACATCTTCTCTAACGCTGCTAGCCGTTTGGGTCCACAGCAGGCAGTGCCTGTACCAGTCTCTGTCCTGCTGCCAAGCTGATACCTGTGAATCCTGAAGGGCTCTGTCTTGAGATCCCCTCGGTTGTGATGTTCTCTACCATGCAACTTCTGTTTCTTGTTGCCCATTTCCGCTTCATGGAGTTACCCTCCAAGACATCAATCCTGTCATCACCTAGAGTGTCTTTCACAAATGTAAGGACCTGCAAAATCACAGACTGAGAACACTGCTGATGTCTGGGTTTTGCCGCTGGAATGTGTGCTTTGCTGAGATTGCCGCTTTTTGCTGAGTTTTCTAAGTCTGTGTGTGTGTGGTGAGTAGTGGAACGGGTTACATAGTTTCACCCGCCGTAGGTGCTGCAGTTTTGTTGTTTGTTTTTTTTCGGAACTTCATACCGCCCAGCCAGCAATCCGGCCCACATGCTATGATCTGCCCCCCCGGTACCACCCAATTTGCATGGTATGCTCACGTGGGAACTTGTGGAACACGGCCCTTGCTGCTGTTCATTGCACCCTGCCCGCTGAGCATCGTCGCCGGCCACACCATACAGTCCACACGGTATGCCCTGTCCCACACGGGACCACCCGGTCCAATCCTGGCGTACATGGGCTAAATGGGACCTGGGGCGCGGCATCGCCGTGCCAGGCCCGCTCTGTGTGCCGCGGGTGTAGCCTTGCCGGGCCCACTTGTGGAGTTTTAGTAATAAATTCAAGTTCTCGTATGGTTTTCATCTCATTGCTTGTGTCCTAGCTTGGTGTGGTTGAATTGCGAGCATGATGTTTCACAACTGGGTGACAGATTGAGCGGGATCATTGCACGACAGACACGCGGTACCCTACATACTACACATGGTACAACAGCACACTGTCACTGCAGGGTTACTTGCAGCACCCATATACTGGACATTTCTGGAGGATGTTCAACAAGGCATATATCTTGCGGGCAAAGTCCGCATTCCTCTAAATCATCCTCCGAAGAAACCCAATGTGCTCAATCATGGGGAAAATCACTACCATTTCAGTACCTTGATCCCAAGAGCAAAATCCAGAGACATTCGAGATGAACAACAACTCTGCAGCGGGTTGGTCCTTGCAGGCCAGTAAAAGACCATATATCATACTTGCGGCGCATCAGTGCGGTGCGCACCTGTGCCGTGCACGCACTCGTGCGCGATGTGCGCGCACTGATGCGCAGTGCGCCGGTGCGCTGGGGCGTACGCGTGACGAGCGCACTTTCGCGCATGGTGCACCGTGGTATACATGGATTTTATTTTATTTTTCTACGTGATACACCGAGTTGACGAGTTAATAATACTTAATATAAGTTATATTGTTTATATAACATTATAGTATGGTTATACTATGATTACAGTATTACGGGGAGCCCCGTAGAGAGAGAGAGAGAGAGAGAGAGAGAGAGAGAGAGAGAGAGAGAGAGAGAGAGAGAGAGAGAGAGAGAGAGAGAGAGAGAGAGAGAGAGAGAGAGAGAGAGAGAGAGAGAGAGAGAGAGAGAGAGAGAAGAAACCGTGTGCTGACACTATCGGACCGAAGAAACCGCCCTTATSAACGGGCAACATGAATCCGGAAGCGGGGCGACATGCACAAAGGACAAATAATATGGCGGTGTATCTTTCCATGTTCTGGTGGAAGATTCATTCATTCGTTGGGTGGTGGAGAGCGAAGGGCCGATGAATCAGGTAAGCACGTAACGTATCTCTGGAAGCTTTCTTTTTTTTTTTTTTTGAGAATCTCTGAACAAATGAGACTGAATCCTCCGCTTGAACATGGAAAGATTCATTTCCATGTATGTCTTCTTGTGCATGTCGAGAGTAGTGCAGCGAGCCAGTTGGTAAACATTACCGTTGAGGTTCTGACAGGTTGGACGCGCCGGGCTTCACTCGTGCAAAGAAATTGGGCATCGCCACACCACTCTCGAAATTTGCAAAATGGGGATGAACTTCCCGCTAGAACACGACCAGATGCCCCTCCCACATTTTTGTCTTTTTCACATTTCGAGAGTGGTGTGGCGAGGCCCATTCTGATGTTCTTCCTTTACGTTTTTTTCTTTTTATTAAAAAAAAAAAAAATCCAGGAAAAACGGCTGCCAGTTCCGTTGTTTTCTACTTCAGAAGTAATACGAAGAGAACGTTTTGAGAGATCGGGACCCTCATCATGACTGAATCTGGCCTGCAAGAACCCTACCATACAGACTGCAATTACCGTTGAGGTTCTGACAGGTTGGACGTGCCGGGCGACTCGTGCAAATAAATTCTTGATTTTTTTCCATTCCCGGAAAAACGGCTGTCAGTTCCGTCGTTTTCTACTTCAGAAGTAATAAGAGGAGAACGTTTTGAGAAATCGCGACCCTCATCATGACTGAATCTGGCCTACAAGAACCCTACCGTACAGACTGCAATAACCCTACCATACACACAGAGTCTTACACATTACTAAAAGCTTGCGGGCCAGCGCACGGCCTCCAAAAAAAATCTGGCTGCCCGTTTCTTATTTTACGCGAGCAGGGGGCCGGGTCTACTACCGCCCCTCACAACTTTTTTTTTTTTTTTTTGACCTCCATTTTTGGAGGTGCGCCGCATGCAGTGCGCGCGCGTCGTGCGGGATGCGCCGTGCGGCGCACGTGCGCAGTGCAGCGCATCGCTATGCGCCGCATGTATGCCATATATTCATCGACAACACAATGTAGACCATTTTTTTAACTTCCCTTTTGAAACGAAACAGGAAAATCTCTTATGATGACTGAGTGAGGCCGGGGGTCCTCACAGTGTACCCAGAGTGCAACACAAGGCTGGCAGCATTACCCAGTTTTGCTTAGAAGGGACTCGTGCATATGCACCCATCCATCTGCTAATTCAACCAAACCCCCTTCCATTCGAGCTTATACCCTGGCCTTCCTACTTTAGACCTGTTCTCCAGCTGAAAACCCCCTTCCATTTGAGTTTATACCCAGAGTGCAACACAGGGCTGGCAGATTACAAGTAGTCCCACCCATGACAGCAGCGAAGCTAGGATTTAACCAACAGGGATGACAAGGTGATGCAAGAAAGACTCGACTGTTCTCTTACCTCTTGTTCAGTTTCACAGAGGGCACATATAACCTGCACCAGAACAAGCAAACATGCAGGATCACAGTCAGTTCTGGTCACAGTCTCCTTGTTCTTTTATCTTCAGGAACCTTGGGAGGACATGAGATCTGGCGGTGCTTAGTTGTCCTGCAAAGACTACACCGAAGGTAATGAACATTGTAAACATGACAAGCTCTGAGTC